CCAGCAATCATCACCCAGATAAGCAGAGATTAACACCAAGATTATCACCAGACATACAATCAAGCAGTAAACAATACCCTAATCAAGGAACTACCAGAGGGAAAAAATAAAATAAAACCCCCCACCAACACTGGCAGGGTATGCTACTGTATATAAACAGAGAGCAAACCCCATTCCATTCTAGCACTGAAGACGTTACCTAGCCGGGTAATGAAACGTTTGCAAGAAAAGAACCATGCTTACTCAGTGTCATTCTGCTATTGGATATGCAGAGTGTCCTAACCCTAACCCTTTCTATTACTTTCTTTTGGACTAGCTATCAATTGTCTGATCTCTCTCCAGAAATGTTTCTACAGTCATGGAACTATAATTATTCTAAATTGTTTGTTGGCATCCTGGGAAAGTTTATCAACAGAAGTTGCAAAGTGAAGGGCTTTTGTTCAGGTTTCCAGCCAGTGAGCCAAGCATGCTGTTCTCTGGGATTCCTCATTTGATTAATTCTCCTGCCACAGTTAACCAGCATTCTTTACTGACTGAAAATGTTCAGTCCTCACAGAATTGCTTCTCAGAGTTGTTCCCTCCTCTTCTTTGGATCTTCTCTTATGCTTGCTCCTTTTGTACTTCCTTGGTTTCCATCCACAAAGTCTTCTGATACTTTCCTATTTTATGTAAATCATGTTGCTTTAGTGAAATAGGGATCTAACTCACAGCGACTCCTCTATTATTCCTGGCCTTCACCAACTTGATGCCCTCAAGGTGTGTTAGAATGAAACTCCCATGATTCTCAAGCAGGACAGCTTTCCAGTTTGGGTTGCTGCTGGTAAATGTCTGTATGGAATAATACCTTGTCCGTCCACGATCTGGAGCTAGATGAAGAGGCAGATCAGGAATGCATTATTGAGACCTGGTTGGGTAACCAGGGATATAGCTTCCCAGGTTTCAGGTCCTGCCCTTCCACCAAGGGCAGGAAGGGATAGCCATCCGAATTTAGCACTGACGGGCAGCAGTGCTGGGGGTACGATGGGGGCTGGGAGTGTAACAGAAGCAAGGTGGAAATGAGATAACATTTGAGATAGGGAGTTCTGCCTAAACAAAAGGTTTTCAGTGTACTATGCTTGCCGGGACATGAAGTAAGGCTACCGAAATGGAGGAAACAGTTCCATATATCCATCTCCAAAGCCCCATATAACTTTAAGTCATGGGGCTGATCTCTTTGGGGCTGATAGGATAGAAGCCATGCTGGATGATGATAGCAGGCATAAAGATTCCCAGCTGGTGGAACAATTTAGGTCTTACATTTTCCTCATTCCATCCATCCATCCATCCATCCATCCATCCATCCATCCATCCATCCATCCATCACGGTTATATGGCTGCCCATCTCACACCATATAACGGTGCTATCCTGACAACCAGTTGCCATCACATTAAAGAGTTTTATTTTGGTATAGTAGGATTGCTCAATGTCACTTTCAGTTCTGAGCTATGTATCTCTACCATCTCTTCTGTCTTCCTCTTAAGGGTCCCCTTGTCCACAATTTAAATTGGGAAGAAGTGCACGCAAAAGGTTTGGTTTGCAACTGCCTTGCCTCCCACGATGCTGTAAAGAAAAGAGAAACTGAAATACTGTACTTAAATGCTTAGAGTGCCTCCCTTATGAGAAAAGGCTAAATGGTGTGACGCTTTTTACTTTAGGTGAAAAGATGAATTAAAGGAGAGGAAACTATAGCAAATGATGAATGGTATGGGAAGAAGGGCTTTTCTTGGCATACTGTATATCTACCTTTCCCAGCATGACTCCCTCCGTCTGTGGGGCCTACAACTCCCAGAATTCCAGGCATCTTGGATAGTCTGGGAGCTGCAATCTCAACATACCTGGATTATGTCAAATTGGGGAGGGTGGTAATATAAAGTAGGACTCAGTATTTCCTGAAAACAGATTTGGGCATTAAGCCAATCAATTCCTGTCGCAACCAACGGATCAACGCTCAGTTGATCCGAAAAAGCAGGCCCTGCACCTGCAGAAAAAATTCCCAGTAGATTTGGGGCAAACAAAACAGTTGAGATGGTACACAGTTAACTTCTAAAATTCACAAACAGTACAGTGATGAAATGTTTGTAAAAGGTTAAGATGTGTCTGTATTTTGAAGGATAAGAATCTCTATGGCAATGGTATCTCTGTGTTTAAGGCAATGTGTCTTTGGCGAGGGAGGGGGAACAAAACACCTTTATACCCTGCTTGTGGCCACTGTTGATTTCCTGCCTTTTGCAGAGTAAATGGCTGGCAGTAGAAAGTAGAGTGACATTTTTTATTTCTTTTTACTGTGCTGCGTTGTCTTCCAGATGTTAGCCTTTAGATTATGTTTCAGGAAGTGGGAAGGTGAGGCATCTTTATGGCTGAATCCACTGTTGATCTGAGAGGGAAGTGGTTTGATGGAGAGGCTCTCCCACTCGCAAGTCTGGATCACAAACATATACACCCAGAGGGGAGCCTGAGTAGAAATTATTGACTGTTTCCAGAGTGATCTGAGTTCCAACTATAGGGAGACAGACGGGAGAGGCTTGGCTTAAAAGTTTTTTTTGCAGACAGGGAAGGAAAAAAAAATCTAATGCCAAGAGTGGCTTAGTAGCACTTTTAGGAGATGATCAGATACAGCTGAAGAAGACATTTGTTATACCTTAATGAGCCTCCTTGATGCCAGTCCTTCAAGGAAGGTCATAGTGTCAATTGTATTTAACAGTTTGTGGTCAGAGGACATCCATTATGCAAGATACTGGATCATGAACTGAACAGATTTGATCACAGCCTTCTCATCTTAACCTGGCCAGCTCCAATTCCAGGCAGAATAATCTCTGTATGCAAAAAAGATTAACCGTCACTTGATTTGAATAGAAACTGAATGC